CCCTAAATTATTACACATCCACAACAGCATCGCTTCAGTGGGAAAACTACGTACTCAGATGTTTGAGGAGACAAGTACTGAAACAGCGTGTGTGAATTTGATTTCAGCTGCCTGTGACTGTGTCTTGCACAGTTTCAAGCCACCTGGAACTAGCTGATAATCTAGTTTGGTCTCTTGCATAATCCAAGACATACATTTCCCTCTGGTAGGGTACTGAACATACTGTGCTGAAGAACTTGCATTTTTAATAACAGCACAGCTAGTACTTGTTTAATACATTTCGGAAAGGCATCCAGTCTTCTGATGGCCTCAAGGAGATGCAGAATTTACCACTTGTTACATTATATCCTTGATTGCATAAACCCAGTCTCAAGTTGTCCATGGGGACACTGTTTCATTTAGTATACAGGACAAAATCACTTAGCTAGCAGTGATTCAATATTTTATTTTTGCCCTTTTATTCAATGCATAGCCCCAAAAGCCTTGTTTACTGCACATTATTCCAGCTCTGTTCCGAAGGCAGAATGATTAATTTCTTTACAGGCTTTTCTATAGTGCTCATCAGATGCTTCTAACTTGTTATGTGCAATTTCCTAGCTTTTGGAAAAGCATACAAAGGAATGCCATTATGTGGCATCATATTACTACTGCCATGATTCACATCAGCAGGGATAGACCTGACCTTTGCTATCTTAGCTAACAGGCGTAAACCACAGGCGGGCAGCACGGCCAAGCTGAAGGAGATGAGGCACATGCGCAAGTGATTTTCACTGATACTTGCTGGCACCAGGATGGGAAGATTCAGAGTTTTATGGAGACCGAAGGCTATGAGTAGAAGTACTCTTACAGATCCATGCTCCTTTGTCTCTTTCATAACACCCATCCCTTAAGTTCATCCTTTCTAACATGCCCACCCCTCAACCCATGTGTCTTGGCCTGGTTCCTTAACCCCATCTCATTCTTCTGACCTATCCGGTCTTATTCAGTGTTACCTATCCTTACTGTATCTTATTTTTATCTATCCTTACTTCTCTCACTTTGTTACTGAGTTTATCTTTCCTTTTCTCTACTTACTTATAGACTGAGTCTCTGCTCCCAAATTCCTCATCTCACTGACCTTTTCGCCTCTCCTAAATTTTACTCCAATCCTTTGAGTAAGAAATGATGGTCTTTGCTGGGGTTTGAGGGGAATAAGCATTCATAGACTCTTTAGAGTTTTCAGAAATATCTATCTACTAAGCATATACAAAATGTGTATTTTAAAGGTTATAACTTGGATAACCTAGAAGTGATTTTCTTAGAGATAGCAAAAAGTGCATTAATACATTACAAAGACCACCCACTCCTGACAGGACCTGGAGACACTAAAGCACATAAAGATGTCGCAGAAGCCTTTAAGGTCTCTACTTTAGCCTCATTTTTGGAAACAGTTAAGACAGGTTGGGTGACATTTTCCACAGAAAACTTAAACTAGGTCAGAGCAAATGTGCATCTCAGAAATTTTTATTCCAAATTACTATAGTTTCAGAAATTGCAAGCAACTGAAATGGGAAGACACAGTATGTGGTTCTGCCCATAAAATAAGACAAAAATTAATCTGTTAGCATCATGGTGGCATCTAACTTGATGGCTGCGCTGATATCAGTGACTTGTCTGAAATCATTACACTAACTGAGCAAAGAACATTCTATCTTGCCAGGTTCTTACCGACTGATTTTGTAAATGTTGGATCACAGCCACAAAGTAATATTATTGCCCCATGTAAATCTGTATACAGCTGTTTTGTAACCTTCTCCCAGCATGTGCACCAGCTATTCATCTGCTGGCTTTGCACTGAACATTCATTATTACCAAATATCTCATCCCTTGCCTCTAGGTTCTATTTTATCTCAATTATAACTTCACTTTACATTTGTCCTCTTGTGCATTGATACCTCTTCAGTTTTTGAGTTGCCTGCAAACCTCATCAGGACCAAATTCATGCCACAAAATACAAATCTGCTGGCAAAGACAGAAAGCAGTTACATGGATATAGAATTCCTGTTAAAATTAGTCAAGAAACACTTCTAGATAGTGACCTAGTAAGAGCTGCAGTTAACAAGACACATCACTGGTGAAATATGATTAACTGCTCTAATTTCCTAAGAGAAGTGGGTTTTGGTCTTCCACAAAGCTCCCTGTATTATTATTACTCTCGAAGCCCATTGTAAGTAAGTAAGTTTGTTTTGGGGGGTGATGCAACAGAAAAAATACTTTCTGGATAGGAGTGTTACCACAAAACCCCCACAAATATTGAGTCACTGCCCCTACACAATGTTGGAGCTAAGCCACAGCTAAAGACAATATCAGATTAATTTTTTGTAAACTCATAGTTTTTCTTGATTTGAGTAGACACAAGACTCCAGCCCCAGGTTTACAAACCCTGTATATAAGTATATTCTATAGTTATTTAGTTCAGATCTTTCAAACATCAGTGTACTGTTTACTTAAAATGCATAACAGTTAGTAGGAAAAGCAGCAAAGACAAAGCAATGAATTTACTTCCAAAGCTATCAGCCTTTGTCAATTAAAATATTTACTTTTGACACAAGTCCTAGTTAGTTAAAAACATTCAATCCAGTCTTAAAATAGAGGTTCAAACTACCCAATTTATTCTTGGAATAGTAATTTGCTCTCAGGATTAGGAAGAATATGGCATCCAAAGCAAGCACGAGCCCCCTCCCTCTTATTACAGTTAATCAGGAACATAAATACTATAATGGAGCTGAGCTCCTGCAAACTCACCAGGCTGTGCATAATTTCCACTCCAGCTGGATTCACTGTGAGTGCTTCATCATACAATTGCCTAGCCTCCTCCAAATTGCCTTTCATCTCTGCAAGCCTCCCACGCATGTACAGTACAGCATGAGATGTGGGGAAAAGACTAGCTGCCTCCTGGATACAAAAGCCTGCTTCTTTGAGATGCTGTTGTTCCATGAAGAGTTCAGCTAAAAAAAGAGAAAACAACCAAAACCACCTTACCATTAGTTGAAATAAGTCAGAGACCCTTCTTCACTTTAATTACATATCACCTCCCTTAGCATATTAAAACACGAGACCATGATCCCACACAGTGCTTACTACTATGGTTAGTGCTTACTATTACAGGTGGATGGACTGAATGAGGTTTTTTTAATGCTAAGGGCTCTAGACAGATGTTCATGGGCAACTTTAGGTGTTGTCCTGACAGAGGACAGCCTTAAGGATTTCTCAATCAGGAATGTAAACAGTGCTGAACTGAGCCCTAAGGAAGCAGGGCTGGCAGCCATTTGAAGCCATCATATGTATTTCCAAATAATCTGAGGAAAAAAAGAACAGAATAAGCCATCACTGTCTACTGAGAACTTTAAACATGTCAGAGTAATAGGATACATCTGACTGAGCTGGACATTAGATAACTTTTTTAAAAGAGTATATCCATATTTTAAAAGATGATTAAAAGTGTTTCTCTCTGCTTATTTGTCTAGTTTATGAGACAGTTGTCTCTTAACTTTTCAGAGACTATTAAAATCCAAAGGCTTGTATCATAGAGACTTATATTGTGTATTCACATGTTTGCTTCCTCATAAATACTCCACAGAAAAAAAAAAGAGCACTCTTGGAAAAGACTGCTCAGTCATTTACTTTCTTCAACTATCAGCAACTATCTTAGTGATTTTCTTAAGAAAAAAAAAGTAAGAGGCATACTAATGTGCTTGACTGTCAATTTGTTAATCAAATATTTTTTCATGTTAAACATAAATTTCATATCTCATGGTTAAACTTTAACATCTCTCAGGATTTATTATGCATTAAATCCTTGCAGAAGGCTTCAAAAGTGATACTCACTGCCACATGTAACTGAAAAGGGAAACTGTTTTTAGAGAAATATGTATGTATGCATGCACATATGTATATAAAATAATTTCCCTCTCATACAGCAGTCATTGCTCTTTGGTTCATAACCTATTTATGTTCTGTGTGTTATCACTGCAAAAGCTCAAAGTCTCATTTTTTTTAACTGATGTGGTAATGCAGTAAGTATTGACAGCTCAAGAGTCCAATCCAAAATGACTAATTCAGGCTTCATATTTAGATAAATAATTCTAAAATTAGACACAACCCTAAATGCCCTGACTTTTAAAGGCAGTGAGTATTCTCAGGAAGTCTCTGTGAGGGGGGAAATTGGCCTGAAAATGCCTCTTAAATATCTTTGAAACTCTGCCAGTTTCAAAACACTGGGAGACCCAGATGACTGTGGGGACTTGGCGTGCTGACATAGAGCTTGCTGGGTAGAGGTGAGCAGGAGAGCATCCCAAAGACAGTCCTGCCTGACTGCAGAAAGGTTCCTCCTTGGCCTATCTGATATGAGACTGAGACCATAAATAGCATTTCTGTTGGCACACTGAAAACGATCGTGTACTGAAATGACAGCAGGGCTGAACACCCTTCCACTTCTGAAGTGCTCCTTCTGGGAGAACAGCGAGACATTGTCAAGAAATGCTCGAATATTTCTTAGCCATCCCTAGGTTGTACTACAGATAAATGTCACTCTCCAAGGCTGTCAACACGAGCAAAACACTGGTAAGAGCTAGACTCTTTAAGAGTGACTCATATACATTTCTCTCTGGTTAATCATTATAAAATCTCAGCATGCATCCCTTCCCTTGGCTCCAAGAGGCTGCAGCTATCTATAATAACTGAAAGCAAGGCCATGTACCTTGTCAAGCTGAGTATGTGTGCAGCCTTATTCACAAGTTTGCGGGAGGACAGTATTTTACTTGCTGCTTCCCAGGGAACAGAGCATTTTCCGGCCGAGTGCTGCATAGCAGCTTATGCTGTGCATGTGGCAATAATGAGGATGGGGACATGCAAAGGGACGATTCACAGCCTGAAGATAAACACTTCGTTTGCGAAGGTAGCACAAACTTAGTAGCACAAAAGAAGGTGTAAAATCCTGGCACTATTTGAAGTCAGCAGAAGTTCTGGATGCTGCCACATTAAAAGTTTTATTAGCAGCTAAGAGCACAATGTGAGTTGTTTCATTCAGAGAAGAACTGGGACAAAGCAGGTTTAGATGTGAAATTACGCGCAGTCGGTGTTTCAATGCATGCAAAATAGAGAGTGCTTATTTTTTCTTTCAATGATGCCTGTAAATCTTCTTCAGTAAAAACAATTATTTAGAGGAAGTGCAGCAAAACAGAATTTAAATAAGATCTACAAATTGTATTTTATGGTATGGTAATGTAGCATATTAAAGTTCAGTCAATTTCTTTGCAGTTCAGCATGATTTAATGGTGTGGGAGGCCTAATTAGCATAAAAAAAGAATGAGAGAGGTGCCTTTGGGTTACGAAAGGAAAGGAGTGCACTCACCCAGCTAAAAATAGACATTAAGAGAAATCATTAAGGCCTGCATTAAAAAAATGTTTTCTGTAAACTCATTTTTCACTTCTATTATATACTAATTTTATTTACAGATTAACAAGATACACTCATGCAACACAGAATAAAAACACAGCTAGAGACAGAAATCAAAACCAAAAAACAAGGACTCATTACATTTATCATGGTAATACTTCTGCCTCCTCAACGGTACTGAAAGTACTCAAACACCTGCCTTTGTGTTACTTGGGTTAGCAGCTTATCTCCTTGTATCACCTAATCATGCTGTAAATAGACATCTAACCAAGTTAGCAGCCCTTCCAAGGAAGTTCTGTGATAGAGATGTGGCACCAAATTCTACTCCAAAACAGAGGGTATCTCCTCAGGCTGACACTGTACTTCTTATTCTGTGAAAGCTTCAATGCTTCAAGGAAACCGTTTGTGAACCTTCAACTGTTGGACTACATCATTCTTGGTACTGACATACTTTGCAGCTTTGAAGCTAAAGGCCATGTTTGCAAGCTTCCTTGCTCTCACTCTCTCAATTAACATCACCTTTATAAAAACTTAAACAAATGTACATTCTGTTTTCAACCAAGTACCACCAAAGGCTCTCTGAATGCTACTGAGCAAAGAGAGATGAAAGCCTGGATCATTACCTCCTCCATCAGCCTCCCTGGAGGAATCCTAGAAACTCTGAGTGCGGATGATTATTAGGAAATATTTCAGCATTTTTACCTATAGGTACGGACTGAGATAGTGCACTGCATGGATGGGCAAAGATGGAATGAATTATGCACTGTCTCCTTTAATTCACTGCTTTTGAAGCTTGAGCCTGCATCCACTGAGACCATGAGCAGCTATCCAGCTGACACCAAGGCCTGGCCTAGTCTAGCATGTTTCACTTCTTTCCCATATCCATCTTACGTTTACCATCGGTGCTTTCTTGCAGTACTGTCCAGCCTTCTCTGCTGTTGTTCGGCTATGGCTTCCTTTGTCTTGACTTGCAACTAGACTTCCACTGATACACCACTCTTAATGTTGAGCCCAGTCTCTGAGAGCAGCATGCATCTCCACTCAGATTATCATAACTGCTAATATGAGCTCCTAGTTCTTCCAGCTGCCTCTGCTAGCATTTAAGCTCATCTACAGTGAAGAACCTTAATCAAGTGAGAATTGGCAGAAGCATATAATCTACTCGCTCTCCAAAGACCAGTAACAAACACAGAGACCGACAGCACTTCCCAGAACACCGACGGTTTGGTCTCCTACAGTTAAGCTCCTTTATTTTGTCTTCAAGATAAATTACTTGACAGAGCTCTGTTAGGGAGTCCACCAGAGGAGTAACAGCAGTGTAATCTACCTGTGTCTGCATCACAGTGCTAGTCTGAGGAAGAGTTGCCTGCCATCACCTTGAACACTGACTCTATTTCCTGTTTCCTAAGTGTCTCAAAGCAGTGCCAAGAGTGATTGCGCTTTTCACCACAGAACCAGCAACAACTGTAATTCTAGCCAAAAAAATCAAACAGATTTGAAATGTATTTCTGCAATGCGACCAAGAGTTAAAATTTCATTCCTTGCGAATCACGTTTGGTGTTATCCAAGATGCAGCACTTAACTCCCACAAAGCAGGCTGCTCCACATCACTCAGTTGTGTGTGCCTGCAGGATCTAAAGCACTTGCCTACTCCTATGCACCCTGCAAATGCTACTGCATAGCAACACAGCCAGCTCAATGCAGCCAGATGACCAGTAGGACAGTACAGTGGGGAGCAGCCCTTCACACTTCAAGAAGGTGAGAGCACCTTTGATGATGTGTAGGGAGGTGATTTCTGTTCCACATCATCTGCCTTCAGGAGCTATTAATGCTTGTTACTGCAGCAGGCCGTAGTAGCCAGCTGGAAAGACACTCCTCTGAGACAGCTCTGCCTTCCGCAGTGAATACAGACCTACTACCCTGACAAAGGGATCCCCCGCTGCCTTGCCTTTCTGACAGGTGATGTTTAGTCATTGTTCCACACTATGACACCACCCTGCACACACTACCTTGACAATTTGTGGGCAGATCAGATAGAAGATTCCTCAAGCCGTATCCTGAATGCAGTAATTTCATTGGATGCAAACCTTTGATACAGAACAGAAACTCCCACGTGTTCCCATCCACCTGAGTTCAGCCACTCACTCTTCTGAATGAGCCAACAGATTTAGATCCTCAAAGGTTGTCTTTGCATGCAAAATGGTAGTTAAATGGAATCCAGGGACCCCCTTTAAATTTCCAAGCTTTGAGCCTCACAGGGGCTGAAATGGCCACTAACCTTCTTTATTTACCAAGGCAGCATTAGAGGAAAGCTTCTGGAAGCTACACAAGTTTCTATACCTCCTATACTAAATGGTGCAGTCAAAACATTACTTGAAATACTACAAGATAGCTGGTTACTTTCTGTAAAGTGGGGCCCTGTTTGCTGGGGAGGAAACAGCTCTCTCCCAGCTGGGAGAAGCAAGCCACTGTCTTTTAGGCTATAAAGCCACCACTGATAAGGGTGATACAAAAATGCTTCTCTTGGAAGGGCACATTTTGGGCTTTTTT